TGGCTTTGAGCTCAACATTCTCAGCTTCGCGTTTGGTGCTCTCTTCCATAACCCGTTTTAAAAGCTCAGCATTCTTGGCTTCGAGCTCAGCCTTTTCGACTTCAAGCTCAGAAATTCGGTGTTTTAATGAATCAACCTCGGATTGCATGTTTTAGTAATAGATTTTATATATTTATTATTTATTTAAAATGCGTAACTAAATAAAAATTTCAGCGACGGCCCGTCGTCAAAAATTCCAATGAAAATTTACAAATCATTTATTATAAAATTTTTTTGAATGATACATAGTAAAATCAGTTGACATCAATTTTTTGATTTTTTTCCCTAAATAACGTATTTTATAGATCGTTTAAATCGATTTTTTCATGAGCTGGTGAATCTAGATAGCGCATCAAATCGCGACCCGACGATTTGGAACCAAGAGGTGTGGAATCGGGAGGTGGCGATTTAGGAAAAGGTTGATTTTTATTATTCGTTTTCTTTGCTGGTGTATCCTGAACTGAAGTTATATGGATATTGTTATCTCCTGTTGATTCTTTATTAATTGCTTTAATCGTTGACAACACCTCAACCTGTAATAAGAAGTCAGTTCATGTTAGCATTTTATAGGAATGTTCATGAACATTTATTTTCAATCCATACCTGCCAATTCATCAAGTCCGCCATATCTTTTGCGAACTGTTCAAAATCGTCAAAGGACACGGGTATTTTAATATGCGTGAATTTTTGAAGAATATATATTGATGGTAAGGAACGAACTAGATACTTGATAATGATGTAGCCGTCTATGGGAAAATAAAATATGTATATAACAATCAGACTTTACTACCTGCCTCCTAACCACAATACTTACTGACAGCTTGTACCAGATAAACACGCGCTTTGTCCTTAGGTACATCTTGTAGTAACTTATTCAAAATTCGCATTGAATTTTGACATAATTTGACCTGATCGCCATCTTCTTTTGTTAAAGGCGCTTTTCTACCAAATGAAAACTCGACAATTATTATGGCTTGATTTTTTTGTTTCGCCTTAATCACTTTGAAAAGTCCATCAATCTTGTGCTTTTTTGCGTCGGGGATGGTCAGCTCAACAGTTCCACATTAATAGATTCTGTCTCACTCTCTTCCGAATAGTTCGTTACTTCCTCTGTCATCACTTAGGTATCATTAAACGCTGTTTTTTTTCGATATCTGTAAATTTAACTCATCAACGAGTTCGTGATTTTGTTGTTGACGAGCGACATCGAGCAACTCCAGCCCGTCGATTTGTGATTTGCGCTTGACAACAATCTTGAGAGCTGGCGAGTGAGAACAGATATAATTAACGCAATAAACGAATCCTATTCAAAGATAACTTTTTGTTTTCTAACTCAGTTTCTAGTTCTCTTTCCAGCTCAATAATTCTCCAAAAGTTCTTTACTTCAGGTTCTTTCTAACAAATAGCGTGAATTAGAATTGATCAATACGATGAGATACAACTGTCGCCACAGAGGAACACGTAAGGACGACACCCCACGAGCACCCCCGCAACAGACGAACGAAGTGCGAGGAACGACACCCACCGCAAGGAGGAACTGAAGAGGAACGACACCCCTACAACACCCCCTGTTGGTTGCACATCATCGCCTATGACAGTTCAGAAAAATACAATATAGAACATGACAGACCTGTTGTAAAAGAAGTTCTACAAGTTCACATCGCTCCTTAATATGCTCATCTTGCATCTCTTGCATCTCTTCTTCAGTAAGAAGGTTCCTTAAAAACTCTAAAGATTTCTTTCGTAATATAGCGTTTTGGTTCTCACTTGAGTTCGGATTTGAGACGTAGAAAGGTTTCAAAGTCTTTAGAAAACCAAGATATGAATTGATCGCTAGATCTAAACGAGATTTCAGGTAAATGTTGTGTGAATATGTGTTACGCAAGAGAATGATCTTGGCATCTGTGTTCCCCGAAATGGAACGTAATCACGTGATTTCCCATTAACTCAATTTTTTATCGTGCATATAAACTTTTGAACATATCCACATATAATCAAATATTCGGGTAAAATTTATTAATTTTTCAGCGAAATTTAACTTTCCACATTTATAGCTTCCATGTAAGAGAGTGGCTGACTACCTTCAACATCGAACATACTAACATCACTGTCATTTGTGATGCAAGGGACGAGGTAATATTTATCAACTTAGATGAAGATGTAGCATTATCTAAATTTCTACCTAAATCCCTACTCACATAATTTGTGTTATTGCTTGAATTTTCACCCAAATTACCTGCATTATCCCGATTAGTAGTTTCGTTTCTTCGGCTGGGAGCTCTTCAGATTGGAGATGCGAATCGATCTCTTTGATCAGTGGGAGATTCACGGTGACTCCTTTAGCATCAATGAAACTTCTTCAATAGATGGTACTGGTGTTATATTTCCCACATCTCTATTTCACCTACGGTTTGTGGTATTATAATACGGATTCTATCAAATTCATCTTCAGGCCTCTTCCAAAAATGCATACGAAACTCATCAAAGTATTACACACCCGTTCGACTTTTTCGTGCTCTTCGATTTCCTGTCATATAATCGCGAATCAACTAATTGACATGAATTATTAAAAAAGATCTGGAAAAATTTCTTACAGTGTCATGCTTACATTGTAATCCCGAACAAGATTCGAAAATTTTTCTTTACATTGGTATCCATTAAAGCTTGTATTATGTTCTTGATTAATTCTGGTTGCGATGCTATTCCAAAATCCGATTCGATTCCTTCCAAAATTATGATATTCTTCATTTCTATTTCTACGCTCATCGATGAGGATACGTATATGAGTAACTGTCCATTCAACCATTTTTATTGCAGAGCAAACCTTTAGGCAATTCTTCGAATTATGAGGCTTTGCCTCTACGATATTTATCTCGACAATGAAGATAATTGAATAGACTGTGAGAAGGTGGGATTTTGTTGCTTTTATAAGTGTATCTTAAGTATTTTAACAGTACTTCGACAGTACTTTAACTATACTTTAACTATACAGTATATCCGTGGTCATATTAAGATATATTGTATAATTTATTGCTTTTTCAATCACACTTCAGCATTGTTTCAACCATGTTTTGCCGGTACAAATCTATGGATGTTCATTTACTTTTTTCACATAAAAATAATACAATTAATTGAATACATATGCCTCAGATTTGCATATCTCGGATTTGTCTATCTCAGACCGAGTGATCTCAAATAGTGAGTGTCATACATTCCTACCTATCTATTACCGGAAAATCAAATCATATCAATATGCTTGTAAATACATAAGTTAATCTATGCTTTCACAGTTACTATTTGGATTGGATTTTGATAAGCTTTCCAATATTTGAGACGATAGGTTTTTATATAATCCTCACTATCTCATATGTCTTCTATGTTAAATCCTATATTTTCTTTTATATGATCTTTATTACATATGGGACATATTTCTGAACAAGTAAAGTAATCGCCAGATTCATTAATATATTTCAAAGATAAATGGGAACCTGTTCCAATGCCATTTTGATAACATGTTTTTGTTTTTCTTTCGGTTCTTCAGGTAAAACAAAAATTGGTCAGGATTTAGTTTGCATAGGTACTGTAGATGGTGCATTTACCTTGGATTTTGGCAAATTATCTGAACCTGAAGAATTGCCTGAGAAAGTCAAAGAGTGACTAGAGGTATGAGTTGATAGTATAGAGGGAGTGGTTATGGTACTTATCTCTGTTTTCGGTAAAGTTTCTTCACATACTTTAGTTTCGGTTGACTATGCGCATGTTCGCAATTGTTCACGCTAATCAAATTTTGAGATTTGGCAAGTTTATCAGTATAAACTTTTATTATATTTTTGGATTTGTGAATCTGTTAATCTGAATATAACATCAGTGCTATATATAATTAATCTGATTTTATCCTTTCCTACTCCTTTAAACAATGTATAAATATTCTTGGCTTTTGGGGTCATCTTACGTAAATACTCTCTCTTAATACCAAGTAGATATGGCATCATCTCATCGTAACTTGTGTTCTTGCCATTTGATCACTAATATTATTTCTGAACTAAGAGTTTAACCTTTTTTTTATATTCCTCACTATAGCAATACCATTGGAATTTTTCCTTTCTACTCGTTTTTTCGGCCTTATTGAATAAATGTACTAGATAAAGTGTGGTACCTATAGTTAAGTCACCTACATATGTCATATTTTTCTCTATAGAGCCAGACACTCCATGTCTAAATAAGTCAAAAATTTGTTTTCCAGATATGAAATGTGAATTTTGTGGGATTATGGTGCCGTTACTTCCTAGCCATCTCGTGACTGCCTTCGGTAATAAATTCAAGCAAGTCACTTATTAAACCCTGTTCTACTTTCTGATTATAGGGAATTTTTATTATTGTGGAACAATGAGCTCCGCTCTCAGAAGGTTTAAGTTTATTATTTTTAACAATAATAGAATCCTGTTTTTGATTAAACGAAATATTAGTAGATGATTTGGACTTAAAGCAAGAAAGCTTTATTTTTTTCACTTACCTCAGTTTCCACTGTAACGGTTTTTACGACACACGATGAATTGGATTGCTCCAGCAATTTATTATCTGAAGATAAGTCTTGGTTATTAGATGTTTCATTATTTCGTAATAGCTTTTTTGCCCGGTTTCTTTCTATAATTTTGTTGCTAATCTGTTCTTTATATATACGATTCAGAAAATAATCAACCGATTTATCTTCCAGCGATTTGGGCTTTATATGAATAGACGATTCAGAGTATCGGATTGGAGATGAGCCGGAGATTTGAGACTTTGTCACTTCTTGTACATCAGAATTTGAAAAGTTATCAGATATATTAGACGCGGGAATATCATCTAATTTAGATTCTGCAGTATCCTCACTTTGTAAGACAATTGGATCGTTTTTTTCTTTATTACTTTGTAACTGTTTTTGTCCCAAATTTGAAATTCTGACATTGAGTTCAGCATCTCTTAAACTTGCGTTCTCTGCATTTTCTTTTGCAGATCGTTCTAATTCCGCAATTTTAGCTATAAGTCCCGTTTCCTTAGCCAAGAATTCAGCATTCTCCCATCTAAGCTTATCATTCTCAGCTACAAGCTTGGAGATCTGTTCTTCTAATGATTCAATTTTAGATTGTGTATTTGTCATTTTTATATAAAATACAGATACAGTGTGTAACAAAACTTTTTGGTATTCTTTATTTATTCATTTTTTTTTTTTTAACAGGGGCTTACAGAGGCCCAGTTTTATTGAGGTTGTAGCAGTAAATTGATGAGGTACATTGAGATTACAGGCTATAGTAAAGACTATATTACTTAGATTATAACTTGACCTTGGTGACGGCTAATTGTTACAATAAACCCATTTGTCACAGTCTTTCATGTGACCCATGTGGCATGTTGCTGGAAGAAACCCTACTACCCACCTTACCTACATTCAGGCCTTTGCTATGTATATTTGCCTTTTGGCTGGCTCAGACCTGAGATCCCTTTCATATCTCGTCCCATCGAATACTCTTTTTACACTACCTATTACAGTATGCCTATGGAATATTCACGTGAAGTCTTAGATATCGTCTCATCCCGTTTGAGTGCCCTTTTTATATAACCTATTACAGCCTACCTATAGGGTGACCGCGTGGAGTCTAGGACAGATTGTCAATTTTGATAGAGACCCTCTTCTTATGCTAACGTGCCTAGGCACTGTTAGTCCCTGAATTTTTATGGCAAGCAGATCTTCAGCCTATCTGCAGAAGCTTGGTGGAATCTGTCTTTTGACGAGGTGGCTTCAGCACTAAAACCAGCTGGAGCATCTTATGATCTTTGGTTATCCTATAATCAGATAAAATCTTGGCTACAGATGGCAGTGATTATCATTGTGAGACAGATGAGATCTTCCTGTATCACCTAGGCTTAGGTAGTACTGCCTCGCAGTGGTATTGAATTCAGAAACAATACTTGGCGATTTGGGAGTGCTACCACTGTGCTATAGACCCACAGGTCTTTATTTATTCATAACTTAATAAAAAATTATCTAAATAATATAAAAATTTAAATATATATTTTTTAAAAGTTAAA